GCAGGAGTCGTCGACGTATCGTGGATTGCAGGAATGTTGAACCTCGCTGATGCCTTCACGAAGCGATTGACACTAGAGAGAAGAGGGCGACTATTTGGGGAATGGACGTACTAGACAAGTTATCGAACTGGGTCCCAAAGTTGGAACCCAATTCGAGGGGACCAAATGAAGGCTACTGTGCTATTGCACACGCATGCAATGGTTCGTGTCCGTAAGTGAACGGGATCGGCCTTCGCGGAAACCTGTCGATGAAACGACAATAACACACTCTTTTTAAGAATACGATTCGATCTACGTTACTACCTTTAACATCTACTACTTCGTAAGTCAACACCCTCGTAATAACATAACGATTACGTTTATATGAAATAATACCACATTTATGGCATTCAATGTGTGCGACACCAATCGCGTCGCAGTCACAATTTCCGCATTCTCTGTATTCACACTCAGAGTATTCGGATCCCTCATCACTTTCTGCCCTACCATCGGGTACGAAAGTATACAATCCGTTTTGATGCACATATCTCATTCGTTGTTCCCCCTTCGTAACGGTGAAGGAGTTTTCAATATCAGTGTCCATGACAACACGGAATCCAAGCTTCACAAGCTCGGATAAACTATCAAGGTTACATTGCGCTTCAGTATCAAGGAAGCAAGTGTGTCCTTCGATAATACTTGATTCGACCTGCTGATGCAGATCACGTTGGCCAGTGTTTGTACCGTAGTTGAACATGTAATCCAGGTCAGACACAGTGCCAGGTTTGGCGTAATCTTTGTTCATTCGTAGGCTGAACGTAGATCCAGAATCAAGATGAACACCAAGATCGATATCCCAGTGCTTACTTCCATTGGACTTGAAAGGTTTCTTGTTGTCTTTGGTCCATTGAGAACAGTGCTTCAATGAATCCATCTTCGAGGTCGACTTGTAGATCTGCATGTTCAAGCTTCCATCGCTGACCATGCTGTCATCGTCCTTGAAAGTACTGGCAGCTTCTAGTTGTGCTTGCCATTTCTTCATTAGCAACTCTCCTCTGTCTTCAGTGGAGACTGCTTTCTTCTTCAGAATCGGTCTTACACGTACTTGTGCAAGGTTCCATCTTGTAATTCTACCGTTAGATCGTTCATCAGCAACAGATCTGCCTCGTACCACATAAGAGCCGGGTACATCAGTAGTACCAGAAGTTCCATTTCCACTCCTGTCAACAACAGCTCGTTGCATATTGCTTTGATGTTGTTGACCAGTTGATTGCGTTCCCGTAACGCTAGACGCGGCATCCGACTGCGCCGCAGATGCAGCCGCAGGGACTTGGAGTTTGGCTCTCCCCGCTCGTCTTGAAGTAGTAGTAGTAGTAGTGGGTGCGTCGCTGTATCGCCCTGGGTCGCTCCATTCCGCTTGTGGGCGTGTGGAGCGTTCGGGACAACGGGTGACCCCATGGCCAGTATCTCCGCAACACCAGCAACTAAAAGCCGGTCGTGAAGATGTCGTTTGAGCATTCGCTTGTGCGTTGCTCACTCCGTCAGGGGCACTGCCGCTTGCAGTGTTTGGTCTTGGAGTACGTCTTGGTGTCGTTGGACCTTTCTTTTGATTGTCCGGCTTATGTTTGATCAGCGCTTTTGCGACCTGATCAATTGTAGTCGGATATTCGTTTCTCTGATCGTAGTCCTTGAATTCCATGGCGTAGGTCTGGTTCGCCTTGTCCAACATGCTTTGGAAGCGAGACCTGTCGCAGTTATAGAAAAATGCACTTGCTTTAAATGTTTCCAGAACTTCTTTCTTGAACGTTTCTTGGAGTGCCTTGGTATCGTCCGGATCGTCTTCCGGATCGTACAGATTTGGTCGCATAGACATGCAACACATCGATGCCAAGGATTTCGAATACTTGGTCAGCTTGAGCTTCGAACCGCCTTCTGTAATCGTTCACAGACTCATTTTGCTTCTGAGTGCAGTTTGTGAATCTCTTGAGAGATTCCATGAGTCCAAAGTGTTGCCACTCGGTATCATCCGTGATGGTCATGAACGTCTTTATACGCTTCAACAGCATCACATGGTCTTCCTTGAGGTCCAACCAATCAGTTTCATTGCTTAACTTATCTCTCATTGCTTGAGTGATGAAATGCTTAGTGATGATCGCAGCCACGGTATATTGGTTCGTGGTGTAGGTCACCTCTCTCTTGTCAATCTTGATATTTAGATTTTCCCAGTTCCTATCAAGTTGAGCCTGTCTCAAACTTTTGAAGAACTCGGAATCGTTCTTTCCTGGCTTGTAGACCGTCTGAGTACCTCTTAAAGCCTCAAAGTCCACATGGGCCATATTTCTTACACTCCAGATCATATCTTGAGCGTAGTCCAAGCTCTTGAGTGCAATATCCTCAAGCAAGTATATCGTCACCTGCCCATGAGTAAAGTCAGGATTGTGAGGATGGTATTGCTTCGGTCTATCGGCCTTCTTGCCGTTAGACCCTCGACCAGTCTGCTGTGCAAATCTTCCTCCACGGCCACCTCGACCGTCTCTGCCTTGGTTTCTTCCGCCAGGCATCTTGCTCTGTAGTTCCTCCTACTTTGCAATGTTCAAAAATTACCTTTGTTGATCGACTGTCAGATAATCAACTCCGTAGCTGTAATGAGAGCCTCAACGCTCTAGCTACCTCTGGAGTA